CTGCTACATTACATTCCTGTAAATATTCATAAGCTCTGCTTTGGAACAGTGAAGTTTCTTGGAAACTATCTGATTCCTTTTCGTCTGGCTTTAAATATTTGCTAGGTGGGCAAATGAGCAGCATTTACTCTAACCTAGTAGGAATAATTATTCTCTACATCTAAATCAAAATACTTCTGATATCACTGCTTGACATTCCATGAATTTTCAGGATTTCCTGCCCCTGTATTAAATCTAATTACAACTATTCTCTTCACTCGTTTTGTGCCATTATCTTCCAGGTCAGAGAGGTTTTGTGCTCAGATCAGGTCTCTAATGAATAATGAGGGCAACTCTGAAGATCCCTGGCATTCTCTCTCTGTGCAGCTGTCTCTTCCCATTCTCAGCCCTGTGAACTCTGTCTTATTCTTCCTTAACTCTCAGCCATCAGTGCAAGAATTTTACTGCTCATTCCCTTGGATTTCACTTCTGTGTGACATGGTCTGGAAGTTCTTTCAAAGTATACATTTAGGCAATTTAAAGATATTTCAATTTTATCTTGTCCTTTGTTCCCTGGTACCTAATGTTTTAAAATTGTTGATTTATATACTTTTATATTTTGTCCCTTCCTTCACTTTGATTGGAATAAAAGATCTATTGCCTTTAAGAGCTTTTTTTAAAAATCTTTTTGAGACAGAGTCTTGCTATGCAGTTCAGGCTGGCCTTGAACTCACTTTGTAGCCCAGGATGGTTTCCAACTTGCAGTGATCCTTCTTCCTCAGCCTCCTGAGTGCTGGGATTACAGGCATGTACCACCACGCCTGACTTAAAAGCTTTTTAAAATAATGTCAAATGTCATTTTTATATTTATCGTATATTTACTACTGATTTTCTACCAGTAATATTATATAGCTAGCTTCGTCTAGCTTATGATATCCAATTGTTAAATGTAAAACAACTTTATAACCTAGCTGTTAAAGTGTTAATGGCTTCAGTTTGGCCATGGTTGCAATATTTATATTCATTATATTTGCCAAAGCTATAAATCCAAACTTTTTTTTTAACCTCCCCCCCCCCCAGAGCTTGTCTGTCAACTCCATCTGGAGTTGTTTTTATTTTGCCTGAAAGACATCACTTAACATTTCTTATAATGTACTCAAATGTTTCCTGTTGATAAGTTGTATTATTTTAATTTTTGCATGTCAGAACACATAGGGCAGGATTGTTAAATAAAGTCTATTGTTCTGAAGTTTTGAAGTATTTTTCACAGTTGGGAACTGGATTTTGTTTTTGTTTTGGGTTTTTGTTTGTTTGTTTGTTTGTTTTTTGCCTTTAAAATTGTTGCACCATAGTCTCTTGTCCAAACAATTTCTGATAACAAGATTCCCGTCTTAGTCACTTTCCAATTGCTGGGACACAATACCCGACACCACTAGGAAGAAGGTCCATTGGGACTCATTCCAGAGGGATGGCAGAGAGGCAAGCGGGGGAAGATGTACTCAGCCCTTGACAGTCCAGTCAGGAAGGAGAGAAGGGGAGAGGGAGAGAGAATGCATGGAAAGAGAATTCAGAAACAAGAGTACACTTTTCCAGCTCATGCATTCAGTCATCCACCTCCAAGCAGTCCTCAGCTCTTAACAGAAAGTCAGCTATAGGCCCCAAAATTGGATCACCTTTCCAAAGCCCCTCTCTTGAATGCACAAGGCTTTGGGTTGACTTTGTAGAACTAAAGCACTAAAACCTGTCTTTGTCATTTGTGCATAGTCTCTCCTCTGGATATTTTTAAGTTTTTTTTATTTAGCATTGGCATTAATCAATCTGATGATAAGAGGACTCTTTATATTCCAAACATTTTTTTAAAGACAGTGTCCCAGTAAGTTGCTAAATGCTTAAGCTGGGTTTGATTTTGGCATCCTCCTGCCTCAGACTCAAAGAGTGCTGAGGTTACAAGCTTGTGCCACCTTACCCAACTCATTAATCCATCTTTAGGGCCACAACCCTCAGGGCCTTAATCACCTCTTAAATATTTCATCTCACAACTGTTAAAATCATGATTAAATTTCAAACATATGCTTCTTGGGGATATCTTCAAAGTAGAGTAGAAATTCAGGAACATCTCTTCAGGGGACTTTTCTTCCTTCCTATCAGGTCTAGTAATTATTAACTCTTCTATAGAGGAATAAAGAGACCTTCACAAGTCTCCTCCAAATCTATTACATAGGAAAAAATTCTAGTTTTAAAATTAAAGAGTCAGGTGTGGTGCCACAAACCAAGTAATCCCAGTACTTGGAAAGATGAGGCAGTAGGATTATAGCAAGTTTGAGGCCAATCTGATCTACATAGTGAGTTGGAGGCCAGCTTGGACTATACAGTGAGACCTCATCTCAAAAATAATTAAATAAGATTAAAAAACAGAATTAACTCATATTACCATTCTCTTCACATATAAAGTCTTATCTTACCTGTAGCAATTCATTAGTCACAATACAGTGATGTATATATATCCACATTTATAATAGCATAGGTCATAATAGCTAAATCTTAGAAACTGACTCTACATGTTTATCAACTGATAAATGAGTAAAGAAAATGTGGTATTTATACACAATGGAATACTACTCTGCCATAAAGAAGGATAAATTTGGATCATTTGTAGAAAAATGGATGCACCTTGAGATCATAATGCTAAGTGAAATAAATCAGACACACAAGCTTAAATAGCACATAGTTTCTCCTATATGAGAAATCTAAAGTAAAAATAAAGAGCAAAATAAAAGGCAGATAATAGGGAGTAGGGAGATATATCTTTCTCAAGTGGGAAGGTGATCAAGAGATGGAGGGATGAGGAAGGAGGTGAAAAAAGAATTGATGTGTATTATGTATATGCACTATCTCCACACAAGGAATATAACCGTTACGTAATGCAAATGTGTACTAGTAAAAAATAAGAACTGGGAAGAGAAAGGATATGTAGCAGTGTTCGAGAAAAAAGCCCAAAATGGTAACAAAAGAATTTGAAAAGAAAGTCCCAAGGGCCCGGGACAAGGGCGAAGAAGAGCAGAACATGGGTCAGGCCAGCACTGGCTGGTAGGTAGGTCCCTCCTCATCCAGGCCAGAGGTGTGGCCAGACTCCTCCCCCAGGGAGCTCTGCAGCCGCAGAGCAGGGGGGTCGCATCCACACCCACATTTCAGAAGCGGATGAGTGACTCGAGTGACTGAATGAGTCAGCAGTACTGCAGACGGGGCTGGAGAATGAGGAGATATTTTTTCTAGGACATCTGCCATATGGAAAAAGCTTCAAGCTACAGTTGTGATAATGATCAGGAAGTCGGGAGCCAGCTGGTTACCGTGGTCTGACTGATAGGTCTCTTCACCCTCCCATCTGCTGTGCCATCCCAAAGGACCAAGATTACATTGTTTTCCGCACTTCGTATTGACCCTGAGCCAGTGCATCTGATGAGTTACAGCAGGTCTCAAGGGCTGTGTTGGCCTGAAACCTGCCAGCCACATGCAAACAGGAGCGTTCGCATAGACACTAACAACAATTCTCTCCTCCACGTATCTGCTGCCACCCGCTGTCCATCCTCCTTCCACCCTTCATGCCCACTCAGGTTTAATTCCATTACAATTCCAAAAACGAAGAGGAGTAAGGTCAGAAGTGGAAGAAAAGGGAGAAATGGGTTGCATGTGAGTAGTCATCTTGCATTCCTTCCCTGTGATCCTGACATGCATATTAACAAAGTCATACAAATTGAGATTGAACAGTCATAAAACATTGGCTGCTTTAGTTGCCTATAGCTATTTCTCATCATGTGTTCTAAAGAGTGATTGAATGCACATTTTATTTACCATTTCATTTCTCATTTAAATAAAGGCTGTAAGAGGATTACACTTAGAAAAGATAAAAAACAAAACACACGAATACAGTATATTTGAAGGCAAGCAAACGAAATAGGCCACAGCTGAAACTGTCAGAAGAAAGGACACCAATAGTAACTTGGAATTGAACGACTATAGCATTAGCACCAAAACAAATATATTACCTTATTAAACTTGATGAATTGGAAAAGCCTTACACATGCCTGATTTGCTTCAAGCTCATTTTCCCCTCTTTGACCACTTTTTGCTGCTTCCTTTTTCAAGTCCTCTTTTACAGCACTCTACCACATGCAACTTAAATTGAAGAACTGTTTTGAAAATGAATCCCCCACAGAACAGAGCAGGCAGAGACAGAGAGAGCAAGGAAGCTCCGAGGGACATGTGGGCTGTTCTCCAAGCACCCTAGGGTTCTGTGTCTCATTTCAGCAAAATGTAGCTCTACCAGCTGCTCGGATAATCTTCTCCCTAAGTTTGCTTCCTGTGTCTCTGTCGTCTTTTCAGCTCCCACCCACTTCCCCATCTTCTTGTTAATCTTCCAGTCTTTGCTGTGGGCTCAGGCTCAAGTAAGCCCTTGTGGCAGTGCCTGCAGGGTACCAGGAAATACACAACTTTCAACCATTTATAAGTCTAATCCTCCTTCTTTTATAGATGAGAAAAATAAGGATCAGAGTTTGTGAAGGGTTCCTGAGACAGCACAAAGCAGAGCTGTGATGGGAACTGAGACCTATTTGATTCCCAGGCGCCATGGTGTTTCCTGTGCCCCATGCTGCCTTGGGAGGGAGTCTTAGATCTGGTGCAACCATTGAGGTCAAATGGAGCACAAGGGCCAACTTTGATCAGTTCAGTAGTTAATTCTGCCTGTCTAGCTCTTGAATTCTTTCTGCCAGAGATGAAAAGACTAGGGGTGATCCCATCATAGCAACTGCCTTCCCTCAGAACTAAATTTTCCTGCTTTGAACCCCCTGAAGACCTAAATCTCCCGAGCCCCCATTTGTTTTAATCTCCTTCCCAGCCACCCAGGTGACCTGCACCAGCGCTACTTTCTGACTTCAGAGGGACCAACATTGCTTTTCATCTTCCTGCCGCTATCACAGCTTGTCTGTTGGTCACAGAGACTGTTGATAGCTCCTGGAGGGAGGAGACATCAAAAACTTGTCTCCTGTTTACAGTTAAGCATCAGTAAATGTGCTTGAGTGCTGGGACATCAGCAAGATTGCAACACGATAACAAGTGCCGGGATGATTCACCACACACTTAAGACCAGCCTCGTTTCCTCCCCAGCTCAAGGGGATGGGATCCCTCTGCTCTGGTGGCAGATCTTCAAGAGGGAGGGGCAGCCTGCACTTGTGGTCCAGAAAAGGAGACTAGCTGAAGCAAAGACTGCGTGAAACTATGCTGTGCGCTCTTCTTGGCCTTCTCCTGGGTACTTCCTTAGGTGGGTGTTCTGCCTTCAGACTCCTACCTTTGTCCCCACCCTCCGATCCACAGCGTCAGCTGCTGGGTTGCCTCTCTTGACTCTATTTTCTCCAACTGCCTGGAATAGCTGTAAGGCTTTTGTCCTAGTGGACAGTGTGCTGAGGCTGGGTTGTCTCTGTCTCCTGGGGAAGTCTCTGATCTTGCATTCTCCCCCAGACCAGGCACATTTTGTGCACTTGGCTCTCCCAAATTTGCTCCCCATGACTGATTCCATGAGCTTGGAATATAGCAGGGCTTGAACCACATTCTGTCGGGGTTAGCGGAAAGCCAGGCATGGGTTTTTCCTCTCTCAGTGGTGCTTTACTCTTTTTGCAGGTGCCAGAGCTCAGACAGTCCATCAATGGCCGGCTACCAAGGTGCAGCCTGTGGGTAGCCCCTTCTCTCTAGAGTGCACTGTGAAGGGGAAATCAAACATCAATCTATACTGGTACCGGCAGGTGGCAGGAGGGGCCCTCCAGCTGCTCTTCTACTCCATCACCGTGGGTGAGGTGACCTCTGAGGCGGCCCTCAACTTCTCAGCCTCCAGACCCCAGGACGGCCAGTTCATCCTGAGCTCTAAGAAACTGCTCCTCAGTGACTCTGGTTTCTACCTCTGTGCCTGGAGTCTCACAATGAACCAGGCTGGGCAGACATCTGTGCAAAAACCCCAACCCTCCCTGAGTCCTAAGCACTCTTCCCTGGGCACTCGGTGAGGTACTGGGTGGAGGGTGTTTTTGACTGGGCTTCTAGCTGCCAGCCAAGGCGAGATCCAGGAATCATTGAGAGTCAAGCCAGAATTCTCCAAAGAACTTTAGTAAGTTCTTCATAAAAAAAATGTATGTGTATAGAACCTAAGATTGCCTATACATACTCCAGTTTCCTCAGTGTGGATGCCTAGGTCATCATACCATTCCTTGAAGTTTGTTATTATTGCCTAATATCCTGTTATTGTCCCAGATTTCTGCTGATCTATCCTATATATGTATATGTGCAGATATGGCTGAGAGGAGCAGGATACACCTGCAGGTAGATGTGACATGAGGGAACTGGAGAACAGGTAGCAGGAGGCCAATCCTTGATATTTAACTGGTTTATTTCATTATCATAGAGACTCTCCTGTCATTGATCTTTCCGGTGAGACTAGAAATTTTGTGAACACACAGACCTGAAGCTTTGAGCCAGGGAAAGACACTTAGGAATTCTGACTAGTCTTTGGGTTTTAGAAACTGTAGAAAATGATCCAGTTCTACAGTCTCCATTCTTGTAGCAAAAGAAGCAGACAGAAGGTGATCACACATGCTGAGGTTGAGGATGGAGAGGAAGGCTGTGTGTGTAATGGAAAGACCTGGAGAAGAAAAATGAGTTGGATGGACATGAAAGAGAGCAAAAGGCTGACCTGAACTGCTGAGAAGGGATGCCATGGTTACCTTGGTAACTCAGCTTCCTTCCCTTCTCAGCCTTTCCTAGTCCTTATTCTTAAAGAGCTTTTCTTTTCTAACATCTCTTCCCTTCCACAAGAGGGCACAACAAGTCTGTTCCTGACATCATTTAACGTGGGATGATTCAGGTGCATTTATGTTCAGTATCAGTTCATATGCAGAGAAACATCTGAAATACAGAGTGATGAATAGCATAACTGATAGTGACCAAGGGCTCCTCCTGCACCTGAAGGATCGAGAATGAATTAAGTTGTTCCTACATTCTAGACAGTGAGCTATCATGAAGGTTAAAAAGAAGAAAGCATACCCAAGCCAGGGCTGGCCAAATACAGCCTGGTCGAAGTACATAAGTTTTGAGTCTAAATTTCTAGTTGCTGTAACCTTGGGCTGCTGATTTAATCTCTCTAGACCTTTGTTCATACTTTTCTTAGTGGACTTGTGCAATACTTTTCGTAGCGGATTGTTACATGTATTAAATGGGACCATGTTTGTAAAGTCCTGTTACCAAGTCTAATTTTCAACAGGTACTATTTTCCTTAGTCTACAAGATGTTTTGATTGTAACTTACCCCAAGAAAGATGTATTTTTAAACATTTACGGCTGGGGATAGAGCTCAGCGGCACATGGCTTGCCTAAATTAAACAGCAGAGTAGCTAATTTTTAGAACAGTATTTTAAAATGCTGAGTGTGCCTGGATGATGAACCCATGAAACTTATACCCAGTGTTGTGCCCCTCCGATGTTGACTGCTGCTCTTTCTGGTTAGAGCTTTATGAATACTTCACGGAGAAATGTCCCAGGCAATCGTTCCTACTCAAGCAGAGTAGGTAAGAGACCTGAAACAGATTTTTCAGTGTTGTGACATATTCAGAAAAAGTTCTGGAAAACATCATAAAGGAGATTACAGTGTCATCCCAAGCAGGAGAGTGGAGATCTCAGTGAATGTTGTAAGTTCTGAAAAAAATCAGTGAGTAAATGAGTTCTCATCATGACACATGGTGATCTGGAGATAGATCAGTACGTAAGGTGGGTATTTAAGGTAAGGCTTGAAAGCCATCTAAAATCAGCAGAGCATGGTAATATCCTCCATTTAATCTGCCCCTGTTTGTGCATAATAATCCTCTTCCCATTATTATTCCCATGACATACAGAACTCAGAATCCTGTCATCGCTATTGCAAAGGCAAAAGAAGCCCAGCTCAGTGTGGTAACTTCTGATCAAAGGTCCTACTTCTTGCCAGAAATTCATCAGTCTCACTTTCTCCATCGGTGAGATGAAGCTGTTGCTTTGCTAGGAGTGATTCCAGGGCTGTGATCCCGGCTACCTGTCTGTAGGTGTGCGGGATAACTACTCTCCAAATCCCAGCCCCTAGACTCTTACACATGGCAGGTCCAGGGCCACTTGCTGGGAGCCAGAGAAACAACCTTCAAACAACCTGTGATGGACCCCCGCCACCATGGGACTGATTTGGAGGCACTGTGGGGCTCCGCACAGCTTGATGGAGATGAAGTTCCAGAGCTGCGAAGCTGTGACACTAATATGTATTAGGCTGCTTTGCTTTGTGGTCCAGGATTCCATGCTCTGGCTTGAGGGTGGGCAAAGCAGGCTCTGCTCATATCCTGTGATCCCCCATGCCCATTGTTGGTGGTTTTTCACTTTGGGTTTTCCATTCCCTCCTGCTTTATGTTCTTCCTCCTCCTCTCACTAGATGAGATAAAAAATATCAAACAGCCCTGAGACATTAGAGAATGAAACGTAGAAAAACCTCTTTGGAACACAGACACCCAAGGACAAGTGCGTTTTGCAGCCTGCTGATTATTTGGGGGCCCCTTTCCTCTGACTTATTGGTACCTCTCATTGCATGAGTGGCAGGAAATGGGGGACACATGTGCAGGGGGTAGGACTTCGCTGGGGGGACAGGGGAGGAGAAGGAGTGCCTGAGTGATGTGGGACCCGTGGAACCCCAATTGTGTCAGAGCAGTTAGCCCAGCTGTCTTTCATTCCCTTTCTCTCCTTGGGACCGCTTCAGCCTCTGATCTGGCGTGTGACCTCAGGTGTGAGAGACTGAAAAAAAGCGGGGGATAGTCCCCAGCTGCACAAGGAGCTGGCAGGCCAGGCTTCCTCTCTGCAAACCCCTCCTCTCCCCGCTGCTGTTCCATTTCACTGCCAGAGTGCTGGCAGAGGCCCCTAGGCAGAAAGAGCAGCATAGGAAGGGCTGAGGGCAGGATGTGGCCAGTGCGGCTCCCCTGATGCTCGGAAGGGGGGAGGGGGAGGGCTTTTCACATGCATCCCACTTATGGAACCTGCCAAATGTCAAACCACATCCTGTTGTGACTCCCTGAGGTGAAATAGAAGCAGGTGGCTGTTGTTACTTGAGGCTGATGTTACTTAGAGATAAACAGCCCAGCCACCAGCACTGGGCGGAGACACCCCACCCCTTCCCCAGTTATCTGCAGCAACTGAGAGACCTCAATCTGCACCTCTTCACTTCCTACCTTTGATGAGAAGCCCTTCTCCTTTCTGACACTCTTTTTGTCCTTCACTCATGGCCCTTGACATCTTTCCCAGGGGAGGGCAGAAAACAGTTTTCAGGGCGCTTCTTGTTAACTGTGGGGCTCTGGGCTCACCGCTGTCCCTTTAGCTTACCAAATGTCCTCTGGGGTATGTCACAGATGAGTATGATTTGGAGCTGGGAGAACTCAGATTCCTGAGTTGCCATCCTCATTGTGTGCTTCAGGATCTGCAGACTTGAACCACCAAATCCAGAGTAGAGTTTGAAGATTCTCTGCAGGTCACCTGACAACATCCTCACTTACTGAAGAGGCTACAGACAAGTTGTCAGAGGATAAAGCTAGGGACAGAGGAAAATCAGAAGCTAGCTCTGTGTTTTGTAGCTTCTGGACTTCAGACAAAGCTTAGAGAATGTGGGATATATATCAAGATGTGATCTTGCTATGAATTTCAAGAATCACTTGTATTAGAATAAACAAGGCCAAGTCATCATCTGCGAGGTGGTGTGAGAGTGGAGGGTTAAATATGAACTACAGAATTAGTAGCCTGCAAAGCTAGATAGGTTGGAGAGCTGACCTGAAGGAATAAAATGCTAAGCAAATACTCTCTGCTTCTTCCCGCTCTTTCAAAGACAAACCCAACTGAATGCACACAGGAAGGGGAACACGTACATCACAAACAGCTCATGCAAAACTCACCCGGATTTTAGTCAAGAGTGAGCATTATGAGTCAATGGGGTGATGTGGTGCAATGCAGTTGAAAACTGGCCTCAATGGAGACAAGATAGCACATATCCTGTGTAGGTCAGAAGCCACCTGGTGTGAAACCCTTCGTGAACACCGTGTTTCAAAACAGTGGAAGGATAAATGCCAACTTAACTGTTTGCAGGAGAGTGTGATTGGCTGTGGAGAGTAGGAATTACTCAAAATTGGTCCAGGAGAATTAAAATCGAGAAGGCTGAAAATGGTTAGCTGAAAAATGTCATAATGCAAATAATAATTACAGTAGTAGTAATGTTTATTGATACTGTACTGAGAGGTCTGAATATTGTGTGAATTAAAGAAGAGGACGCAGTTGGGCCCATTTTATAGAAATGAGGGAAGAATCTTAGGTGGTCATTTGCTTTTGGTCACATAGCTTGGAAGTGGTAGAGTTAAAAAAATAAAAGCTTAGATCCGGGTCTCTTTGGCTTTAAAGGCCACATTCTTTGCAACCAAGCTCTTAAAAGTTATACTTTTTCTACCTCTCCTGGATTTGTGGACTCCTGACTGAAGCTGGGCACTCAAGCTGTGTTATGGAGGGCTTTTGTAGGAGTATAACTATGACCAGTGAGGGATGAGATTATGGATGCTTAAACAGGATGAAATTCCCCATTGAGCTAGCTAGTGATTAGCTGTCCTACTCAGGCAGATGGGATTTAAGAGTCTGTTTTTATATTTTCTTACCAACCAGAGTATCTATGATTCTAAGATCCAGTGAAGATCCAGCACCACTGTGGAGAAAAGGTGCATCGAGTGAAATTGTAATTGTGAGGATGGCAACAAACTTGGGTCAGTATTTCAAAACACTAGCTTAGACCAGCAAGGAGCCTGATAAAAATGTGGTAGGGGACTAGACCTCTAGGAAACTCCAGACAGGCCCCCTTGTCAAGACCACCCCTCACACTCACTGGCGAAAGCTGACATCACTTGCAGAGCAAACTGATGAAACTTCTCTGGAAATAGTCACAGCTGTGGTTTCACTTTCAGCTCCTTTTTGCTAACCTGCAGAAGCCATTTATTCATCACTGGGACTTCACCTCACCCAGGATCCTTCTTGAGGGTCCAGGTACAAGGAAGGTAAAGGTTGTGGATAGAAACTAAAGAGAAACTCGTGTATCTGAAACTTCAAACAGGAGAGTGGTGAGCAGAATATGGCTGGTCTGCTAGAGGAGATGTTTGAGGGGAAGGCCAAATATCATCACAATAAATCTTAAGCAGCAGTAGCGAGATTAGAGGTGTTAAGGAACCCAGGAACTTCAGATGCACAAACACAACAGAGTAAAACTTGAAAAGCTTCCAGGTAGGAGAGAATATCTAACTGGGCTAGGGAATGCTTTGTGTTTGGGGCTCAGATGGAGCAAATAAAATATCAAGTAATGGGGTCCCAAAGTGTTGGAGACCACTACGAAGCAGCTCTGAGCAGGATTTTATATTAATAAATTGGCTTTCCGTGTTTACTTGTGAGTTATCTGAAGCTTAGCCACCTTGTTTAAAGATGGGCAGTGGACTTATATAGTAAATAACCTCTATGGGTCACTGGTTACCACTGAGGCCTGTATTGGCCTGTGAAGCTGTGATGCCTCAAAGGACAAGATAAGGCCACAGCTGAGGACATCTGGCTCCAACCCCAATTAACTTAAAGGAGACTGTAGCTGCAGGCATCTCACTCCTGCTGTGAAGGCTTTCCTGGAGATAACGTAGTTCTCCTAAATTAACATAATGTATTACTTGGCAAATTCCTGCCCGGTTTCCCATGGTTTCTTGAGTATTCTCCTCCTTTGTTTGAAAACTAAATAAATGTGGGCTTCCCAGAGAAGTCTTTGTCAACCCAGAGATCCTCGAAGTGTATAAGAGAGTTAATCCCCCCTGGAGCCCTGAACTCATTTCAGTTGTCTCATTTATTTAAGCCTTCGCCATCCACTCACTTGGAGGACTGAGGGCCTGATCAGCCCGCAATAACTAAGGGTTATCTAACCCGGTACCAAAGCCTATAAATGACTGCACTGGAAATTATAGTCTGCCAAAAGCAGCAAAATAAACTGAGATTAAAATTATTAGCCAGGCTTTATGTATTCTACAATATGAGTTTTCTTATAAGCCACAAGTTAATTCCCATGGACATGGTAATAGTGATCTAGTGATTAAAGTCCAAGAGGTCAGTTTGGGAGTAGAAGATCGATTCATCATCCAAAGTTTAGTGGCAAAGCCTAGACTTGGCCTGTGAGGATTATCCACCCACCCGATCCCCAACAGCCTCTCCCAGTTCTCTAAGTGAGTGCGTACCTAGGTAAGCAAACATTTTTCTTTGCACACACAGCTTCAACAGTGGATTTCAAGTGCTATTCCTCCCCTCCACACCCAGGCCTAACTAGAGTGACCTCATGAAACTCCTACTATATAGGACATTTGTATATCACATAGATATGAACGAAGAAAAAAAAGGAAAGTGGCTCAGGGAAGGAAATGGAAAGATGAACTCCCATGAGGATCCTTTGCCCCTGCCGCACCTCCTCTAGGTCTAAATCCCCTTTTCTTTCTCTCCTACCTTAGTCCTCTTTATCAGTAGCAAAACAAAAGCCTTTGTCTCTTGATGGTCTCACAGCCCCTGGAGCATCCACTCCCTAACTTCAGTAGCTCAGCAGTGCCCACAGCAATAGGAAGATCTCCATGGCTTCTAGTGCTCATAAGAAAGTTCCTCCAGGCAAGTGACAGTGACCAGAATCTCTCCTTTGTCCAGGAAGTTTCCATCATTACATGACAATTTGAATGCCCCTTTCCCCTCCTAATTGACAGGTAAATCTGTCAAGTGGGCACATTGGTTTCTCTCTTTGGCTGCTACCTGAGGGGAGTTCAGCTGTGCCCTGTGGGATGGTGAGAACCTGTGGATCCCAGGTATTCTTCCAGAGACAGAATTTGTCAAAGGTCTCTTCAATCCTCAAGCATGCATTCTCACTGCACTGTTGTCCTTTGTGGACTTTGCTGTTGTCTCTGGCCTACATAATTCCCTAGTGACATGAGACCCAGATCAGCCTTGATGTTAGGACAAGTGGACAGGCCCAGGTCAGTGGAGAACCTGTCAAGTCTCTCCCTTGCCTGAATAACTGAACCCGGGGGCTCCCTCACAGCTTCTTTCCTACAGATCCAGTATCCTGGCTTTGCTGTAACAGTTTAACCCTCTTGTTCCAGCAACCATTTGGTTAGCAGCTTCTTCATGTTCAGTAGTATAAAAATTTGTACAATAAATTATATAACTGTCCTGTTCTGACCCATCTTTGCTCAGTCTATCCTAAGGAAGAACAGAGAGGACACAGGGATCCACCTGGATTCTAGAGTAAGAGGCTAAGGCAGAAGAGATCAGCTTCTCAGGGGCTAGGAATTGAGTGGGAACTGTACTGTTTACAAGAGTCAGGGAAGTGATTATAAAGACTTGGTGTGAAGATGCTTCCCTTGGTTACATAGGACGATGGGTGTGGATCTGATGGAATTGTTTATAACTTGCCATCTCTATGAAGTCCCTTGGATGGAAGGTGAAGTGTACTTCATCTTTGAGAGGAGAACCCTCCATTCTTTATGGTTGACCTGCTACAAATTCTAGGCTTCTAACCACGAACCCCTCACACATCATCCCACCTGCTCATGTCTTGACTTGCTGCATCTGCAGGATGATAGTCACCAAACCCGCAGACCTCATTTTCTTCTATGATGCGTTACCCTCTCCCTACCTATGCGTTACCCTCTCCCTACCTCCACCCTTCTTTGGCCCCACAGCTGCTCAGCCTTTCACAGACCTGCTCACTGAAATCTCTGCCCTCCAGCTCCCCAGTCCTGCTGCTTTCTGCTGCCCCACACAACACCTCATTCTCGCCCATGCATCTAGATGTCCCTTCACCTGCTCATCTTTCCATTCTACCCTCAGGAAAAATAACCAGAACATGCCTGCAGCCTCTTCAGGTCTAGAGTAGGAAGCAACCCTTTGTGAATGCTTCTGTAAGGCCTAACACCTATCTCCTTTCTTTAGCTACTATGCAAAAGAAAAAAGGTAAGGCAACAAACAACAAGTCAGAACCTATAAAAGCTGTACTACAGTTTGGGGCATCTAGAGAGAGTTATGACTGATAGAAGGAACCAGAACGCAGGGAGCTCTTGAGGCCAAGCCTGCCATGAGATTTGTCCTTTCCGGGCCCATGCAAGCTGCCTCTATGGAATCGCTCAGCTCCAGTTCCTGAGCACTCAACATTGTAGTGTCAGTAGTGTCCCCTGAGAATTCATCCTCACCCAGAACCTCAGAATGTGACCTTATTTATAAGCAGACTTTGCAGATATAACTCATTCAGATTTCTGATTAGATGGTTCTGGACTTTGGGTGAGATGCAAATCCAGTGACTCATGTTTGGGTAAGAGAAAGAACATGGAAATGGAAATGTACAGTCAGAGGAGAAAATGCTGTGTGAAGACAGAGGCAGAGATGAGTGAGGCTGACATGGCCAAGAAAACCAAGAGCCCTCAGAACAGGGAGAAGCAAGAGGAGTCCTTCCTGGAACTGTCAGAGAACATGACCTTGCTGATACCTCAGGTTTAGATTTCCAGCCTCCAGAATTGGAAGAGAATGTTTCTGTTGTTTCTGACCACCCAGTGGCACTTTGTGACAACACCTTGTTGTGTACTTTATTTCAGCAACATTAGGAAATTAAAAGAGCAAGAAATTAAGGCAACCTCAGTGTATTTCTGTGGGTCCTGCCCTCCTGCTTAGGGGCAGCTGCTCCAGGGTCACTGTGATACCATGAACCAAACCCTATCAGACCACTATCCTGGTCACTACTTGGAAAAGCTTCCAGAATCTCCATCTTTGGAAAAACATGCCATAGTTTCATCACTGACAACTTGATGTGTGAACTACAATTTCTACACTTATAGAGACATCAAAACTGTACTTGGGGTTGGGATCAGCACTTGGTCAATATGGAGATTAAATGGGATGATGCGTGTGAGGGAATCCACTCAATTGCCTGGGGGAGAGAACAGGCTCTCAGAAAGAGGCTCTTTCATCTTTCCTATTCACCACCCTTCTCTGATTTCAGATTGTGCTTCTCACCCCTGGTACTCTGCCTCAACTAACATGACCGTGGCACCTTTCATCATTCTATGCCTTTTCTCTAATCGCATTCTTCCCCTTCCTGAGCGCATTATGTTCTACCACAATGGCTCAAGTCCTCAGGGAGAGCACACACTGCTAAGGCAATTGTCTCCACCCAAGCAGGGGCACCTAACACTCTGCACTTGGGATGAACTGGTCTGCACCCATTAAAGAAAGGGGCCTATTGGAAGGGCTACTTCACATGTGCCACCATCCCCACTGACCCCACTTCTCTTCTCACCCCTCCCCCAGACCTGACCTTGAGTGTCCTGCTCCTGGGAGATCACTTGTCCCCTGGCTTCACCTACCAGTTTTCTCAACTCCATGATTTCTCTAAGATCCCAACTTAGACACACAAAGGAGCACAAATCTTATACTCAAATCCTGAAAGAAGATAAGTGGAGATGTGGATAGACACAGGTAAAACCGAAAAGTGTAACAGATGACATCTGAATATGGAATTGAGAAGTGATTAGGCTTTGTAACCCATAGGTCTGCCTGGGCTCTGTGCTGTGCTAGACATGCTTTGCTGTAATCCTCTCCCCTCCACCCCTTTCCATCCTTGTCTTTGTCTTGCTGGTGTTTAGAGCCCAGCCATTGTCCTCCAGACTAACACCACACTGGGGGACTGGAATGCCTAGTAGGGACCATAGCTTTTGGGCACTTCCATCAGGATGATCAAGAAGAAGCAGCACAGGTCAGAGAGGTAGTAGCTTAGTCACTTCCTATCCCTGAGAGGATGGTAGCTTCCTCAGGTCACTAGAGTGTCAGCCAAGTGCTGGACTTCAAAGACACCACTGAGACACAATCATGCAATGTTTATTGGTTCTGTCTGTTTCTGATTCAGGGCTAATACTCAGTCTTCAGGGAAGCAATCAGGAAGGATAGATGTCTACATAGGGAGGGGTGGAAGGAGAAGAACTCTTTAGGAACATGGATAAGTAGGGCCAGGAGGATCCAGGATGAAGAGGAAGAGTGATTCAGGATGCACTATTAGAGATGGCCTCAGGATCTCTTTTGCTTGACCTGAAAAAGAGAATATTATCAGTGTTGTCAGGGACTGCAGGGCAATGGAGGTGGGGCAGGGGGCAAATGCTAGGGACGGCTTTTGAGGAGGGCTTGTTGGTTCTCCCTGTCCTTCAGTGGTGCCTTCTGGAATGATCTCCGCATGTTCTCCCAGCTTATGGCTCATGGTCTCATCGAGATAGCTGGACACATCAGGGCCTGGGCTACCTGGGATCCCCTTACGTCCCATCTACAGTGTTCCACACCCTCCCTCAAATCACTTCCCCACCCCACCCTCCTTACCATGGCCATCAGCACGAGGGCACTGACCAGCACAGCGTACAGGGTAGCCTTCCCCAGCAGGACCTCGTAAAGGATGGTAGCGGACAGGACCCCTTGCTGATAGGACACTGTTGGAAGGAAGGGAGAGCAGTAGGTACCTGTGTGTAAGTAGCTCTGGCCTCTGCCATGCCCAGTGCCCATAATTTTGTTGGAGAGACAAGACCATTGGAGATAGAAAGGAATGGAGAGGGTTACTTACCAGAAGTGAAGCCACAGTCTAAAAGAAAAAAGGAAAAAAAAAATAGGTGAGAAAATGGCACTTCTAGAGGGCAATGAGCCTCAAATCACAGTTTAAAGTCGGAATCACAGGCACAAACATATGCACATGAGATGGTGCAATGTGCCTCCTGTGATAGCCCTGGTACTACCTTCCTCATGCTGATCTAGTGCAGGGACATTTTCATTGTCTTTGTCAATTCATCCAGGGCCAGGGCGCGGGATGGGAGACCCACACACATGTGCTAAGCTCCATGGCCAGTCACAGAGGACCCATTAGTACAGCAGGGAGGGCTCAGGATCTGTGGAAGGAAAAGGCTTGAGCTCCCTACCTACTGCTGTGCTCTCTAGGAGGAAGTGTACGCTATGGTTCAATTGCACTATGGTCTGGATCGTCCCTTCTCACATATTCAGGCTTTCTTCTGAGTCTCCTCTTGATTTCTATCTGGATCTCTCATCTCCCTCTGGTGAGATCTCACTCAGTCTCCTCACTGGCCTCTCCAGCCCCACTCACCTGCTCTGCCCCAAACTTCAGCACTGACGTTCTGGGTGACAGGTCTGGCCCGGTCCTTCTGGTCCCATGGGTCATCATCTGTGAGCCCGTAGAACTGGACTTGGCAGCGGAAGCGGTTGCGCGGGTTGTGCCAGAAGGCAGCTGAGACCCTCAGGCGGCTGCTGAGGCAGTAGCTGGAGTTTTCATTGTCAGGATGCTCCTTGTAGGGCTGAGGGTCCGTGCTCACCCCGCTGCGGGTCTCCTTCCCATTCACCCACCAGCTCAGCTCCACGTGGTCGGGGTAGAAGCCTGTGGCCAGGCACACGAGCGTGGCCTTCTTCTTCTGGCCAATCTCTGCTTCTGATGGCTCAAACACAGCCACGTTGGGTGGGTTCACCCTGTTCAGGTTTTCTACAGAGTGAAGAGGGGTTGGGAACAGGGCTGCTATCAGAGCTGGCTGGAAGGAGCCACTATCCCTTCCTCTCTGATATTCTCCCTGTTTCTTGCCTGTGCTTTGTATTTACCCTGTGGGCAGGAATTGACTACTGTCTCTCCATCCCCTAAGCTGGCATTATAAATGGTACTGGCTACAATTCTGAGCAAATGGAAGCTTGCCTCTTTCTGCTCTAGCACTTTATGCAGTAGCTATTTAAATGGATCCCCTGGATAGAAATCTCAACAATAGGCTCCAGATCCTAGGACTGACTGCCTAGGCTCTCTAATGTCTCTTCACTTTTTTTTTCTGTTTCTGAAATGAGGATCAGAAAACTGGCTTTGCACATCAGGTTTAAAGAACTAACGACACTACTATTTAGAATGACCGACCCATCCTATACCCTGTTATTTATACCTGAAGAGAGAGGGCTGAGGAATAAAGGAGAATTGGGGGGAAAGGCACATTTGGGGGAGGCTTTCTTCAGATGCCAATGGACAGGTGGCCTATTTTGGTGCCCTGCTGGTTTACAGGGCACTCACGAGGATGTAGGGTTTTCTGATGTTTAGACGTGCACGAAGCCATCCCATCAGCACCTCTACCTCTAAGGACCACTTGCGTTTCCACTTTGCTTTTTGCTTTTCCTTGACACTTTTACCTGATAAATTCTGTCTACATGAAATATCTTTTGTATGAAAACCTCTTCCTAGCCTTTTGGACTATGGAGGAAATTTGTTCCAACCTGCTTTCCACTTGCATGGTATATGACCTGCTTCCAGGACCCACGACCTAGGCATGCAGCCCCCACTTACTGCACAAGAGCATGTGCAGAGAAGGGCCTAGTGCCTGCTCTCATCCTCTGCTGCTGCCATTTTGAAATTCTAAATAAATTTTTTTCACAGGAGCCTACATGCTCATTTGGATCTGGACCTGCACACTTTGTAGCTGGCCCTGCTTCCGTATTGTCAGCCTCCCATACCCCAACTCCTGCTTTGAGAACTAGTTGTGCTGCTTAAATGGTAAGATCCCTGCTTCTATCTGCAGTGCTTGGATCCGTCAACCTTCCTGTCCTCAGCTTGTCTCAAAGACCCCAGGATTTCTCCCACCCTCCAGGTCACTGTGGAGGGAACTTCCCTGACCCCCTCCCTCAGCAAACAGTCAGTCCCTGTTGTATAAATTAAAGATGTGCCTTGAGCCATGTGTGCTGGTCCCTAGGGTACTGATCCATGCCACGAGTGTGACAAACACCAGCACACCCCACAACACTGTCTCTGCAACTCCTCAGTGAGGCTCCAGTCAGCTCAGCCCTACTCCTGTGGGCTTGCTCTGTGGCCTGAGTGTGTTCCTCCTGAGCTGTTGCTTGTCTGCGCCCTACTTATAGGTTGCATTAGCCTCAGGTAAAATTGTAAAGTTCTCTTTCCTCTTCCCAGCCCACCTCTGACACACACATCGCCTTCCATACCATTTCTAAACGCCATAGACTCTGAGGTTCAGACATTAACGTGGTTAAGGACACCAGATCATCAAAGAGCCAGGTACTGGAACCCAGCCACACCTGGTGCTAAAGTCTCATCTTCCTCCACCCCGGCTCCTGGATCACAGCTCCTGATCCCTGTGATCATGCTTTAGTGTGATCACACTTTAGTGTGCTGTGCCCCAAGGGCTCCTCTGATCACACTTTAGTGTGCTGTGCCCCAAGGGCTCCTGCTTAAGGACAATCCAGCTACACGTGGTATCTACTGCTGTGGTTATCAAGTGACTCTGGTTAATGTCCTCAGGCTGAGAGTTGTTTGCCTTGTCTGATTTCAGGGCTTCTATTGCTAAGTGACATTAAAAATCCCTTCCAGCCCTAAGAGCTGATATTCTTCCAGAGAATCCTCCTCACTTTCCAGACAAATATCTTCATTTGAACATGTGCTTCTAATAAATAAATTCCCTGAACTGTGTGGGGTGTTTAACCCAGAACACTTGGTATAAAGGATGGAGATTTCAGCCCACCTGGGACAGAGACAGGGCTTCTCCCAGGAAGCAAATGCACCCCAGGGGCTGAGGTTACCCTGGCCTCTGGCCAGCACCTGTGTTGGCCAGCCCAGGGCAGTGTTGATGCTGAGCCCCCACCCCTGCTTCAGGGGCCCGAGCTTCTGAGAAAGGCTGTGGAGGGATTAAATCTAATTTTAAATCACGCTACTGAACAGTAAGTCAACAAAGCCAGATTTGTTCTGCCTCATCTCTGGGGACTCATCCGTTACCCATCTCGTTTCGCTCTGGCGCTTGGCTCATGCCTGCCGTTCCCACCCATCCAGCGTTTTTTGTCTCTTAGTAACACATAGGTCCCCAGACCCCCACTCCCCCAACCTTTTTCCCCCCAAACCAAACTTGCCGTTCTGTCCCGCCACTCCCATTTTAGCGCCTGTCAGAGTTCTAGTACAGTAAATCCTCTCCTCCACCGCGCACCCTGTCCCTAACTGGCTTCCACCCGCCTCCGGCTTCCCATCCGTGAAGCGAGGAGACGCGCGGGAAGGCGAGCAGAGCTGGCCCCGCAGTGATCGCCCACTCTCCGCGGGACCCCAGCCCGGACCCGTCCACCCCCAACCCCTCCAGGGACCCAGGGCCTGAGGCTGGAAAGGTGGGGGACGCGCGCGTCTCACCTAGGACCGTGAGCCTGGTGCCGGATCCGAAATGCTGCTCGTAGGAGCACGGAGGTGCAGCCCCGCTCGCAAACCCCAGCGGCGGCCCGGGCGACTCCCAGCCGCAGGGCGCAGCGCCCGGCTGTGAGCCCTGGACCACCCGGCCGCCTTCCCTCCCGCCCCGCGCCCGGCGAGCGGCCCCGCGAACACTCACCCAGCACGGTTAGCCGGCTGCCAGCCCCGAAAGTCTGGGTGGCGCCTGCAGAGCACAGCTCGGGGCCCCCCCACAAAAACCGGACCCTGGCCTCCAGCGCCCATCGCGGCCCCCGCGCTCACCTAGCACGGTGAGCCGAGTGCCTGGCCCGAAGTACTGGGTCTCTTGGTTCACGGCCCCCCAGCCCCGCACAAAAACCCGCCCCTGTCCACGCTTACCTACAACCGACACCCGGGTGCCCGCACCGAAGTACTGCGTGTTTTGGCTCACAGCACCCGGACGCAACACAAAAACAGGTCAGGCCATTCCGGCCCCAGGGGTCCCTGAGCGCCCCGACTCCCCCTACTCCCAGTTCCTCCAAGCTCACCCCGCTTACCCAGAACGGTCAGCCGGGTTCCTGGGCCGAAATACTGTATGTCTGTGCTCACAGCATCCTGGCCCAGGACAAAAACCGGCGCTGCCCACCGTTACTGTCCCGGACCCAGTCCGGTCCCCGCAGATGCTGAGTGTTCCATAGCTCTCCCAGCACCGGGACCAGGGATCCCTCGGCTCAGGTGTTGAGCAGAGACCCTCAGCACAGCCCCGAAGACACTTTGAGCCCCTGCCCACCTCCTTCAGTCCCACCCGACCTGCATCCTCCAGCTGCCCTCCTTACCCAGCACGGTTAGCTTGGAGCCATCCCCAAAGAAGAGCTGCCCGGTGTTCACACAGCCCTGGAGATCCCAGCGCAAACTCCAGCCTCCCCCATAAAGGGCCCTGGGTGACCCAGGGAGCGTCCTTTTCCCCAAGGCCAGGGTTCAGGGGTCCAACCTGAGCAGCTTACCCTCCCTCCTTCCCACTAAGTGTTGGGGCTGCTGTCTTACCTAACACCGTGAGCCGGGTCCCTGGCCCGAAGATCTGCTCAGCATAGTAGCACAGCAGGAAAGTGCTGCCTAGAATTCCTCCTTCTTCCCCAGACCCCCAGCTCAGAAAGGGTGCTCCCTCCCTCTGCTTCCTGGGTGAGTCTCTTCCCACTTCCAGAATTAGTGCGGAATAGTAATCTGGGCATTGTAGGAGGTCACCCCCGATTTGCAGAGGAGAATCAATTTGGCCTAGGGATGATGCAGGGCACTTGAAATCCAAAGGGGCATGGGTGGCCGTGGGTAGCCTGGAGCGGGCAAGTCTTGCAGGTTGGACTCTATTTCTTATTACTTGCATAACCTGTAACCTCTCTGATCTCAGCTTCTTCTTCACAAAGATGGGTTACCTTTCCCATAAACTTTTGTTCTTTTAACATGGGATGTATGCACAAGTGCTTCATCAAGGGCAAGTTTAATGAAAAGTGTTACTGACTGGTGATCGCACTTTACAGCTTTGGCCGGCACATTCCTGGGAAGCTGTCAGGGGCAGAGATGCCCAGGAATTCACTGAGTGCAGACCCCTGCAAGATTGGAACTGGGCAGGAACCAGCCCCACAGACCTCTCACCATCTGGTGGCTGCACTCCCATTCGCTGGGCTGGGAAGGAATATTTTGCGGGGCAGGGCTTTTTGTAAAAGCACCTCCTCTGCTTGAATCATTGTGCTCCCCCCCCCCAGTCCTCACGATGTTATACTGTGATACAAAAACGTTTCCTCCCCACTGGCCCCCCTCTCCCACACACTGGGCAGGGGCAGGAAGTGCAGGTGGCAGGGATTAGTCTGACTGAGTGGGGCTGGGGAAACACAAATGCAGTGTAAATCTGAAGTGGGGAGGAGCTTGGGTAGGGGATGGGGACCCCCTCCTGGGAATAGGCACTCCCCTGAGGAGACCATCTATGTCACTGGGTCTCCCTTCTGGGCTAACTGAACCCACCTGCTCAGCCTGGCACTTATAGTGATGCCAATGGGAGGAGCAAGGGGCAGAGGGCACAGCTTTAAAAGAGGAATCCACAGAGCAGCTAGTAAACATTTAGGGCACAAGGATCAACAGCTCAGAAAGCACCATCAATTCCCGCTTCCTGGACGAATACCCACTTCTTCATTCAGTTATGTCAGAAGTGTTTAGTGAAAATGCACCAGAAGTCAGGCTACAAGCCGGTGCTCTGAGTAACACGCACCACCAACCTACCATTGTGGCCTTAGTTTTGATGATTCCCACCCCTCAGTCGTGCATCCAGCTGAAGAAATACACCTCAGAAGACCTGATCATGTTGTTGGGGCTTTTGCTCATGCCTCTGATTGGCACCACCACATTCCACAGTGATAACTAAGATCATTTTTTGGAAGCGTTTCCCACCTCCTCAGACATTTCCCTGGTTATCCCAGTCAGAAATGAAGAGCTAGTCTCTGACTGCCTTCTAGTAGACAGCTTACACAGTTATTTCAAAGCATTGCTTTGTATTTCAGCCCTTTCTGCTTGTGACTTAGTCCCTTTATGAAGGAGTAAGCTGCTTGGGGACTGTGATATCTTTCTTTTCTTGGAACTCAGTAGCATCGCTTTGCAATAATATGTGTCTAATAACTGAGTGTCTTCACGTGTGTGTGTGTGTGTGTGTGTGTGTGTGTAAGTGCAATAGAAGATGTGTCCAGGGCTATTTCAGGAAGGCCTGATGGTGATGACTGCTCCTGAGTTGGGCACTTCAGTCAGATATATCTGCCTGATGCCTACCCTGAGCCAAGATAGCATGCAGTACTATCGGGACACTGTTATAACAACCTCCTTGTTATGACAGAACTGAGAGACAATTGGTGGTGCAGGACAAGTGAAAAGGCATTTCCATGAAATGTGCCAAGTGTCCTGAAGGACATGTGCGCAAGGCACCACTGATGGCAAAGCACAGAGGTTTTAATTTTAATTTTGAAGTTAATTCAGTTTCGGGGAAGAGGTGAGGACAATAAAGGGTCAGAGAAGGCTCTTTGGGAGGTCAGGTAGTGAAGGCAAGTAGAAGACAGTGAGCAAAGAACAGTACTGTCTTATTCCAGGTGAAGCAGATAAACATGGCGTGTCCAAAATGCCTTGCAAGCAAGAAGGTCCAGGGTTTAGGAAGGAGAGGAACAGGGTGAACATGGAATAAAGAGGCAGAAGTCAGCGTCAGATCTCTTTGCCCGAGATTATGTCACCATAGTGACAGTAAGACAACAGAGAGCTTCTGAAGAAGTTCTGGTAGAAATAGCACTGATTCTTGGTCTAAGAAACTTCATTTCTATCCTTCCAGGAGCAATCTGAGCACACTCCCACACCCTGCTAATTCACTAGACAGAAATTTATCAACAGATTTGTAATTTATACTGCAAGACACATCTATTGAAAATAAGTTTGCGAGTTAGTGCATTCTCTTCTTTTCAGTTGGGAAAGCTGCTTGGTAAACACACAGAGGCCACTGTGCTCAGGGAAAAGGCTAAAGGGAAGGTGGGTGCATATGGGAAATCAAGGCTTGTAAGCCACAGAGATACGACGAGTTGGCAGATTCACATGTTCGTGTAGCTCAGCTGTGCCTCAGAACAACTTTTATGCAGGGCAAACAGAAAATTCCTGTTCTCAGAACTTCTGTATGTCTAGACTTTCTAGATATACATCTCCGCCTTCTATACCTTCCCATCTCTTCCCATCTCTACTCTTTACAATTAATTTGCCTCTCTTGTAAATCCCAGGGTAGACCTTTTCGTAGACTTTCCTTACTGAGGGAGTTGTATTGAGTTTGAAGATTTCTTGTTTCCATCCTGACTGAAAAGCCACATCACAGGGAGTCGGGGCACAGAAAAGAAGTGAGATGTAGACATGCACAAGTCAGTCAGGCCTGAGCATGGCATGTTTATTGATTCTATCATCTACACACTCTGGGGATAGCCGCGGTAGGGATATTTCCGCCATGAACATGCACGTGTGTGTGAGTGTCGGGGGTAGAATTAGAATGAGCAGAGAAGTAAAAGCAGCTCTTCAGAAGCACTGGCAGAAGGAGAATCCATGTGGACACCATAAGGGATTGGAAGTTCCTGCTTCTTCATCCAGAGTGCCTTCAGGAATGCTTTTTCTTGACCTGCAGAAGAAAAGGCATGAGGTTACCAAGAGTCCTGAGTGATGGGAATTGGGAAGAAAAAACAGGGCCCATTGAGTGCATAAATAAAAGAGTTCTTAATGATATGCCTTGGGAATTTGGGGGACCTCAGCTTCTTCCCATCACAGCACTTCCACTGTAATTCCCCAGAGGAGATGCCTTTAAGGCATGTGAGGAAAACGCCCTCCTTTTCTCTGCCCACTTTTGGTCCTGCCAGCATCTCTATACTCCAGGCTGTGAGTTTTTGGGTGTTGTGTGTCACCTAAACCTCCTTGCCCTTTCTACCCATCTCTTACCATGGCCATCAGCACGAGGGCACTGACCAGCACAGCATACAGGGTGGCCTTGCCCAGCAGGACCTCATAGAGGATGGTGGCGGACAGGACCCCTTGCTGATAGGACACTGTTGGAAGGAAGGGAGAGCAGGTCAGTGCCTGGAGCAGAGAGCTCTGGCCTCTATCAACCCCAGTACGTTGGTTCCACAGCCAAAACCACATGGGAGAGAGAGAAGAAAGGTTCACTTACCAGAAGTGAAGCCACAATCTGAAAGAAAAGAAGGGAGAAAAATTGGTGAAAAAACACATCTTAAGCAGCTTGAAAATTAAGTCAGCCTCATGGTTGGGAGACTGGCAGGCCCAGAGCACCATCTTCCTTGTATCGTGCCAATACCAACCAGTTATGCTTGATACCTTGGCAAACACAGAGCACGAGGAACAAGGGTATGCTGAGTTGCTGAGCTATGCAGCTCATATGGAAAGAGGTTCTTAGCTTAAGGCTGTGGGTTGAGGGTCTTGCAGAGGAATTAGCCAGAGGTGTCCAGCTCACCTTCACTGTGGGCCTTAGCCCCCTCTGTCCTTTTTGCTTCTTGTCTAGTATTTCTATCTGGATCTCTCATCTCCCACCGTGCTGATCTCACTCAGCCTCCTCACAGGTCTCTCCAGCCCCGCTCACCTGCTCTGCCCCAAACTTCAGCACTGACGTTCTGGGTAACAGGTCTGGCCCGGTCCTTCTGGTCCCATGGGTCATCATCTGTGAGCCCGTAGAACTGGACTTGGCAGCGGAAGCGGTTGCGCGGGTTGTGCCAGAAGGCAGCTGAGACCCTCAGGCGGCTGCTGAGGCAGTAGCTGGAGTTTTCATTGTCAGGATGCTCCTTGTAGGGCTGAGGGTCCGTGCTCACCCCGCTGCGGGTCTCCTTCCCATTCACCCACCAGCTCAGCTCCACGTGGTCGGGGTAGAAGCCTGTGGCCAGGCACACGAGCGTGGCCTTCTTCTTCTGGCCAATCTCTGCTTCTGATGGCTCAAACACAGCCACGTTGGGTGGGTTCACCCTGTTCAGGTTTTCTGCAGAGTGAAGAGGGGTTGGGAACAGGGCTGCTCTCAGAGCCGACTGGGCCTGGAAGGGGCTATGTGCATGTGTGAGGGCCGGAACGAGATCAAGGGATACAACAAAACTATGCCACAGTACATCCTTTGTGATTTGGAGTGATTTTCTTTTCTGTTTTGTCCCTCAACTTTGCCACTTTCTTCTGAATTAACCGACAGGCCCACATTGTCTACTATCTTTCCCATCTCCTTCAGGGGACATCTGTCCTTATTTTCTTGCCTTTTTTTTTTTTTCAATATTTCATACTCTGAGATTTATTTAATTATCTGTCAAAAGAATGTAGTCATGGTAAAGTTGAATGAGCTTAATTTTGTGACAGAGAATTTTGTAAGCAGTATGATTGTAGGAACTAAGCTGATTTTTTTCTGATTATCATTTTCCCTTTTTTTTGGCAAAGTAATACTCTGTTTAAGTCAAACTATGTACTAGAATCAGCTTTTCTTGCTTAAAGAGACACTTTTCCCATTACATGGATTATATTTTCCTAATTACAATGCTCAGTTCTTCTTTTTCACATGTAGCCTGCTTTGAGGAGCCAGCTCGCCTGTGGCTGATATCCTATCTGATGGTTCACCCCTACACTGGGGCTCAGCATGGCTGTGGTAGCTCACCTAGCATGGCTGAAATTTGATGGAAGATACTGTTCACCAGTTGAGCCCTCTCCTTCCTTCCACTGCTCACAAGCCTCCTTAATCAGGTTTGGACACCTGGCCAAACTTTGCATTCTTAAAAGTACTCAAAACTTAATTGTGGTATAAACAAATCGTAAAACCCAATGCCGTTTTAGCCAAGGGCTCACACTACAAAGCCCTTGGCCTTTTTTATGCTTGACAGATGGAAGGGGACGAATTTGTGGGATTCTGGAAAAAAATGACCTCATCTGAAGACTCATGAGGAATGGAAAAATCACATCCATCCTTCAGGCGCTCTTCCTTTTGCGAGTTTACTGTCCTCTTGGGTTGGCTCTGAACATGGGGTAGGCTTTTGGTGCAGAACTGTCCCAAGTCCAGATGCCTCTACTTTTCCACAATTGAGAAATTATTTGGGTGGGGAAGCTGAGACATAGGTACTGAAAAAGGCAAACCCTGACAGAGCAATTACAAACAACAGGAATGAAAGTCGTCACATTAAGTTGAATCCTTTACAAAGGATTTTCACCTACTGTCAATTAGTCCATTTCATTTTATGTGCCTTAGAAAGACTGAGATAGTTTAAATCACTTTTCCAATTTCATGAACACCACTCTACCCCTTTCCCAGCCCCAGCCTCTTGAGCTCAGCCTTTGAATCCAGTAATTGTACTTTCCATTGAACCCATTGCCATGCGGTCTCACCTGCAGGACACCATCTGCCCAAGTTCCCAGTCCTGGTGGATCTAGGTGTCCCATTCTTCCAGCTTGTCTCTATCTCCAGCCCAGACTCCATCCCTTCCCTATCCCACTCCACTCACCCATGTGCTTCCTCCCAAGCATGGCGATGTTTTATTAGGGTTTCATATTGGTGCCTTACTCTGTTATCCCAGCACGGATCTTAAGGTTTGAGAAAATAGGGTCTCTTACTTATTTTCTCTTCTTTATACTTGGCTGTTGCTAGGTATAAACTGTTGCCACAGCTTATTCGGACCTGTCTCCCAGGTACCTCCAAGCAGAGCCCACCCCACAGACTCCCCAGGGAAGCTCTTATGGTCCTGTGACCTAGACTTCGGCCTTGGTCTCAGGAACAGCCCTCAAGCTACCCTGATCTCACCAACTCCATCCTTGCTGCCCCCTGTTCTTTAAATCACCCCAGGAAGAGAAAAGGAGGATGATGCAAGTGAGACCAGAGTTCTGTGCCAGAGGGAGAAGTCAGGGAGGATTTTAACAAGAAGACAGCTCTTCACCAACACAGCGGCAGCAGCAGCACGGAAATGGAGTGAAAATGGGAAGGAAAAATGGAGAAGATAAACAAGAGAAAGGAAAACAACATATTGCTAAAGAAGTATAACAATACTTCTTTAGCCCCAGAGAACAATGAAAAGAGCAACCAAGCCACAAAGCTCTGAAGATGAGGACGGAGCTCTACAAGGGAGAGCTGCAAGCAACCAGCAGAAGAGCAAGCTGGACAAGTCCACAAGCCGAGGGGAAGGTAGGAGACAGTACGGGGCCCCGGCTCAGACAGCAACCCTGACCTTATACCCACTGCCCTTCTAGGATCGTTACCATCAAACACAGTCGCACACAATCAGGAATGGAGCCCCCATACCTGTCACAGTGAGCCTGGTGCCTGTTCCAAAATAGAGCGGCGAATTATAGGAACACAGCAGAAGGTGGCCATGGTAAAACCCACTGGGGGCCTCCACTCAGAGGTCCAGCCCTAGTTCCTGACCGGGGATGGCTCCGTCTCTCTGCTTACATGCCTAGCTCTGGAGTTAAGCAATTCTACAAGGAAAATATTTCAATATGCTATGGGGTGAGAGGGACGGAAGAAAGCAGTTTAAGAAGAGCAGATCTGTTCAAGCACATAAGAAAGTAGGATAAGCCAAGAAAGGAGTTAGGATGCAGATTACCAACTGAAGTCTTGGAGGAGAGAATTAGAGGAACTGACCAAGTCCAACCTAAGGAGAGATAGACCTAGGTGCTCAGAACCCCCACAAGTAATAAATTAAAATGTGACCGGGTGCCTTCTGCCAACGCTGGAAGAGGTGGAGACTGGTTTCAGGGGACAACGGCCCCATTGCCCTGGTCCCCCTCCTTACCTAGGACAGAGAGCCGAGTCCCCTCCCCGAAGTGCTGTGCCTGAGTGCTCCACAGTACAGCAGGAGGGTGGCAAGCCCCAGAGGGCCTGCTGGCCCCTTCCTTCCTTCCTTCCTTCCTTCTTTTCTTCTTTCCCAGAGCTGGTTCTGGAGTAGCTCCACCCTCCCTCATTCTTTGAGCTGCAGCCCGGGCTTTGTCCTTAGTCCCTGCCCTTTCCAGAGAGACCCCTTACAACTCCAACCTGACAGTAATCCATGCCAAAAGAAGCCTTTTACCTACCCAACACGGACAGCTTGGTTCCACTGCCGAAAGTTAGCTTTTCATTAGTTGCACAACACTAAAGCCTGGCAGGAAAACTGCCGACTGCTGCCTTCCATTCCTTCCTCCCCACTGCCTACTTTCCCTACTTCCCATTCCTACTAGAATTTATCCTGGGGAAGCAGAGGCGAGGGGCAGGCAACTGGGCAATCGGAAGTGCTATGGTCCAGCAATGAACTCACCCCTACTGTGACAGTTATAAGGACTTCCAGTCTACCATGGGCAGGACAGGCTCTACCATGGGGACAGGAGAGAGACACAGTAACTCTTTTCTACCTTAGTCTCCCTGACTCTGGGTAGGATGCCCAGGCTTGGCACAGACAATGCATGAAATACTAGAAATGGAGACTTTTCCCTCCTTGTTACGACAAGATGAGAATTCAGATCCTCCTGATGAAAATGTGCTTTAACCAGTGTGCCTAAGATGGCGGCTCCATTTGGTTCCCAGCCCTCCAGCCCTGACTTACCTACAACAGTGAGCTGGCTTCCCTCCCCAAAATAGAGGGTGTTTCCAGAACACAGCCCACCAGGTCCACTTCAAAACCTCCCATTGTCTGTGGAGCACACCAGGATTCTGGAGAGGTCAGGAGTTCACGCTTCTGTTCCCTCACAAAGCCACAGCCCTGCTCCAAAAACTCCCGCTGTCCTTCCAGAGCCTGCCCAGAACCCAGAGAGGTGAGAAAGGCGAGAGTGTGGGTGCCTGTGGAATCCAGAGCACATCTGGAGACCCGCCAGAGAACCTCTGTTAGTGAGGAGGACAGGTGTGACAGCTCATTAATTCCCCCTGCTCTCCATCTCAGGGTACTACTTGGGGGACAGCGCTGACTTTTTCCTCCCCTGTCCTTCATCCCAAGGGCAGCTTTGGGTTTGCCAAGAGCCTCAGGGCCACTTGGTGGATTCACCTTCAGAGGGAGCCACCCATGAACTCATTTCCACCATGAGAAAGCCGCTCTCATGTCCCAGCAGCTCTGTCCTTTTTACGTTTCCCAGGACAGAGTCTATCCTTGTCATGCCCGCCCCAGAGACCCCAAGCCTTACCTACGACTGTGAGCCTGGTCCCTGAGGCGAAGGTATAGTCATAGTTGACACATCAGGGCAGGGCCACTCTAAAACGGACCCTGGGGATGCACTTTGCCCCACGAGAGATCTGGAAAGTTACCTGGAAAATGTCTTACCTACAACTGTGAGCCTGCTGCCTTCTCCAAAGTAAACTTCTGTGTTCACACAGTGACATGGGACCAGGAGGAAAACAAATTCAAAGTGTGGAGAGAGGAGGGCCTTGGCTGGTGTCTGGAGGGCCTCGGGACGAGGTTTGTCCTCTTCTGCGTTACAGGCATCACACAAGTGGTCATTTCGATGTTGGCTCAGGGCACCACGGAGCATGGCAGAGTCCATCTAATTGGACCTACATTCTCTCTCAAAAAAGTAAAAAAAGTCCTCCATGCAAATGCTCCTGCCTAAAGGTCCTTCAGAGGGATGTGGGGTTAAATAGCAGGCCAGGATCCCAGGACCTGTGACAGTGTCTATCAAGAACCAAGGGTATCCCTGGCTTCTTCTGGAGTCCTCTGTAGAACTGGCCACCTTTGGTGCACCTTCCTCCAGTCCTTGGTTTCATGGGTGTGGGGATGAAGGCATCTCCCTGTACCCTACACCTATTGGTCCCCTGAGGCATTCTTCTTATGCTTGTGTTCTTGCTGCCTGGAAAGGTCCAGTTGAGACCTGGGCCTGTGGTTGCCCAGGGCCTTGGGCTGACATGTGGTCAGCAGTGGGGCAGGAGCATCCTGGATCCAACCATACCTGACCCTGTGACCTGGTAAAAAATAGAAAGACTGTGGGCATTGGGGCAAGGTGAGAGGTTTTTGTAAAGGAGTCCCATAGAATTGAATCACCGTGGCCCCCTGTCCCCACAATGTTACAGCTTTGTACAAAAAGGGCCCCTCCCACAGGCCCACCCCTTGGAGACTGGCAAAAAAGACCAGACCGGCGCAGCTACTGCTTTGAGGCAACTGGGAGACGGGTAGATGACATCACCCTCCATTGTGCAAGGTGGTAGTGGGGTGTGGACTAGGTTGGGGACTCCCTCCTCAGCTCTGCCTTTTCTTTAGGATGTTCTTAGCTCCTTGAGCAGTGTGACTTTCCCTCTCTGGCTTGTTGCCATAGAACAGCTCCTCCTGTAAAGAAGGAGCAGCCCCTCCTTACCCTGGCCCTGCTTCAAACTGTGTGTCATTCAGAGGTCACAGCTTTCAGTGGAGAACAAGATTCCTGGTACTAAGACATGATCACTTTGATCACCCTGGTGCTGCTAAGGTAGCAGCTGTGGCCCCATTCTCTGAAGAACTGACCAAGAGCTGTGAGAGTCAGAGCTGTTCTAGGTACGAGGGTACATTGTATTCCCAGGAACCAGCATGGGGTCAGAAGAGAGCACATGTTCGCAGCCATCTTGATTTCTCATTGTTGACCTTGGAATCAAAATTTGGGAAAAGGAGTTGGGGAAATACCTGTGAGGGCCAGATACACAGACAGTCTGGAAAATATTCCAGTACAATCACAAGGCCCCATGATCATGACCACAGTTTTTGTCCTCTCTTCCTGGAGGGGTAGAAACCTTTGAAGTTGTTGGCAGATATTGTATTTTCCTTGCATAAGATGACTGTGAAATTTAACCCGAACTTGAGCAGCCTAGATATCTTTTCCCTAAGTGGTGCTTCCTTCAACTGCTCTGAAGCTACTACTTAAAATCTAGATGAAGAAAAAAGACGAGCTGAGTACATACTGAGGGCACATTGGCATAGAAAAATAACTTTTTTTTTTCCAGTACTGGGAATCGAACTTATAACCTTGCACTTGCCGAGCAGGCGCTGTGCCCCTGAGCTAAATCCCCAACCCCTATGAGTGGAAAAATAAAAATGGAATCAAAAGATAAATCTGAGGAAAATATTTACAATTTTTACCATAAGAGGGAATCGCCCCAAAATATGAACTCTTAGAAATCAGTAAGAAAGTAAATTCAACAGCCTGATAGAAAAGGGCCAACAGCAAATGGTTCAGAGAAAGAGATTAAAATGGTGCCGGAGTATAGGGGAAACAAAGCTCTCACAATCATAACGCAAAGTAAAACTGCACAGAAATAATAATTTTTACCCACTTGATCAACAAATTGCATTATGGAAGGCCATTCTGTTGGATTGGTAGTGATGAAATAAGTACTATAATATATTAGCTGCTCTTAGAGGGGCACCATAATGCAAACCTTATGAGGAGCAATTTGGAAACAACTATAAATATTACAATTGCATTTTTTCACTCAGAAACCTCACCTGAAGATTTTATCTTGTAAAATATTCTTGCATACAAATACCAAATGTCTGTAATGTCTACATCATGTGGAATAGAATAAGATCAGAGAATATTCCAATACTCATCAGTGAAGGAAAGGATAAATAGCCATATTCTATTGTGTTCACATAACAGAATATATTCAATGCTTTTAAAAGAAGGGGCTGGGGATTTAGCTCAGTGACACAGCACCTGCCTGGCAAGCATGAAGTCGTGAGTTCGATTCCCGGTACCGGAAAAACACCAAAACCAAAAAAAAAAAAAAGAATATTAGTGGCTTATATTGCTGTGGGAAACTCTCTAGAATACATGCTTTACTGAAAAATAGCAAGCTGAAGAATTGCAAACACTTATGCTATCTTTTGCCTAAGAACAGAAGCAAAAGAGAGAACTATACATTTTCTTAATTGGCTTTGCATAATGAAACACTGGAAAGATTAAAATAACTGATATAAGTAATTATTAATGATGAGTAGAGTGGACAGAAATGGAGATACAAGTCACACTTCTCAGTGTTAACTTTATTGTATTGTTTTTGTTTTAGGGTTATGTAGCTATATCTATTAATAGTCAAAGCTAAATTAACAAAATTTAAAAAGGAAAGACAAACAGTAGAATATTGCTTTAAATAATACATGCAGATCTGCCACCTAGAAATAAATATTTGTTTAATTTACAAAGTCATTTTTCCAATGAAGATCTGTTTACAAAAGAAGCTGTCTCATGGTCCTGAATTTGCTCAGTGGAGCTCTAAAACCTTAGGAAATATGTAAAAGTCTCATATTTCTAATTCCCATGAGCTTTTGAGTTGAGTATTAAGTTTGCTAACCTATATTTAAATACAAAACCAGAGAGAAAATTCTCCTGCCGTTTCTGTCACAGTGCCAGGTATGGGATCTACAACCTGTCTGCTAACGGGAACCAGGCAGGAGAAAGCCTGAAGAGCATCAGAGGGCTAGTGAGTGATGCATTCAGCTGGACAAAAGACACGGGGAGAGGGTCTGTTTATTTATCTCATTATAGATCTGATGATATTCTACCGTAAGCTCAAATAAGGTCTATTGTTTTCATCAATTGGAATGTGGTGAGGTCTCCTCTTTATTCCCTTTCTTCATTGAAACATGGTTTATTTTCATCTATTTTCATATTTTCTTGGTTTATTCCCTTCATTTGCCTATCAATAACTTACCCTCTAAGTTTTCTCTTAATCATGTACCTGGTGACATTTATCCCAACTAGCCTCACAAATCAAAAAACCATTCTGTCTTGATATCATAGCATCTGATAGAGTTTTTTCCCCCAATTTTGCTCCTCTGGACATTGTACCCAGATGCAATACATTTTTTTCTGCACTGGCCCCATGGACCAATTAGACAGGAATTAGGTTGAAGTCATTTGCCATTTTGGACAGCAGGAGGCAGGCTTTCCTTATTATTATTATTATTATTATTTATTTTCTCTTAGACCTGTGTCGTTGCAGTATAGGTTTGGCCACTTGAGGGGGCGAGAAGAATGCAGAACGCAGGGTGATGGTGGTGGGGGAACAAAGAAGCAGTCTTCCTCAGGGCGTGTGTTGGCGACCAGGTGGAGAGTAGGGCAGTCCAATGGCAGTTTACCCCTGTGTAATTCAAGCTATTTTTTTCTCAGTTGATTCGTGGACATCTAGAGGCTGAAATGAGCACTCAGTGATGAAGGGACAAAGTGGAAACCACTCCCCGAGTTCCTCCCTTGAGTTCTGGCCAGGCAAGCCCAACCTGGAGCCATCTGCCCGGGTTCCACCAGGTCCCTGCTTTTAGCCGGGAGCCTTTGGGCATGTAGTAAACCTCGCTCTGTCTTGTATGGATGAAATGGGAATAATAATGACAACAATACCACCCGTGAGAGTTACATCAATTAACACATGCAAACATTTATCATGGTACCTAAATACAGTTAGTAAAACATTATCTGTTGTTATTTCCACAGAGTGTACTGACCTGGTGTTGTCTCTCCCACAGAGGTTCACAGACTTTAGCAAGACCAGAATGACCTGCAAAATTTATTAAATGGCTGGCTCCTGGGCTGTGTCCCAGTGCTTCTAACTCAGTAAGTCTGGGGTTGGGGCTCACTTTGCTTTTCTCCTAAGTTCCCAGGGACTGTGGTGCTAAAGTTCCAAGGACTACTCTTTGAGAACCATTCTTCTGGCAGTTTCTTTCTTTTCTCAGTACCCTTACGTTCACCCTTGCTTCATGTTTTATTCATTCTATCTCTAGGTACTTATATCCCAGGCTTTGTTTGACCCTGAGAGATAGCTGGACAAGTAAGGTAAGATCTCCCATCCAGGTGCTCACAGTTGAATGTCAGGAGAGGTACCTCTAATGACAGAAGAGGGCACAGGACAGGGGTGGACATCTGAAACTCAGACTGGAGGCCAGTGGGACCAGAGAAAGGGAGGAAGAGGTGCTAGAAGATACTTGAGAGGGGTGGGAGGGGCATCTAGGCTGATGGGGCCATGGTGTCCAGAGAAGGAGAGTAGAGGTGCATGGCCTGTTGGATGGACCACCAGGACTTCTGAGCATGAAGGAGAGGCATACAGCAATGCGTGGTGGAAGTATAAGCAGGATGAGAACAAGGAGAACCGTAAATGTCCGAATCCTCTGGAAAGGTGTGACTCAGGGAAAGATGCAGTGAGCGGGAGCTGTTCAAGAACAATCAGTCTGTGTGCAAGGAAGTGATTGGGGGAGCCCCTTGGAGGTGCAGGGGGCAGGGCATGGGATGCTGGTGATGGCAGGTTGGAGCGACATTGAAGACCGGACTTGGTGGGCTCCTCATCATCTCAAGAGAATAGTAGGGTGGGTAGAAGGCATGCAGGAAAGTAGGGATTCAATCCCTTGCTCTGTCATCTACTAGGTGTCAGCTGAGCGTAGGCCAATATCCATCTGTACTCCTGAAATCAGAGTGAGCTGAGTGTGAAATGCCTATAAGCTCTCTGGATTGTGTGCACATGCTAATATTATAGGTGGAATGAGCCAAGGACAGATTTCTCTGGAGTGTAATGGGTGCAGGTTCTGGAAGCACATGTATGCCCTGTAGTCATGTGAGCAGATCGCTGGGAAATGGCCAGTGAGATCTCTATTAGGACCTCTGCTGTCAGGAGGAAGTAGAACTGTGTTAGCAAGAACCTATATGTGCGAGGGGACTTGGAAGAATTGCAGGTAGCTGGTGCTGCAGCTTCTCTAGATGTGAGTGCTCTGGGTACAAAGAGGTTTTCTCTGCACCAAAGAAGGCATTGCCTTGCCAGTCATGCTAATGTGTGCACACACTGAAACATTCAGGACCCACCCGAGTACTAAGGTCAGGACAAATCTCTAAAACCACTTTGCTGAAATGTATTTTTCTTAAAGATAGACCCTCTGTATCCCCACCCCCTGCTTTTAATTATTTTTAGATTTCATCTCTTCAAGTGCTGCTAATCTAGCGTCCATAGAATGTATTTTGGGATGGAGGGAGCTTTGCTTATCTCTCAAGGGGAGCGATGTGTATGACCTCAGATTGGAGGATGTTTCCCAGAATGAAGAGACTGGAAGGAGCAGACATGGATGACTAGCACAGATTCACTTTATTGGCATAGGGACGGCAGCAGGAATGGGGGCTCAGTTGCTAGCAATGGTCTGCTGAATCCAGGACACATAGTTGCACACCTTGGTGTAGACTCCAGGCTTGTTCCTCTGAGCACAGCCATAGCCCCAGGAGACAATTCCCTGAAGTTGTCCATTGCAGACCACGGGGCCGCCAGAGTCACCCTAGGAGAAGGGACAAATTGTATAAAGAGGAAATGAGAGGGAATCTAGCTGCACTTCAACTGAACTTCAACCCAGGTCAGCTGGCCCTATGCCCATCTCGTGGTGGCCCACTTTCTGCCTAAGGACATGGCATGCAGGCCATCGTATCTCCACGGTATCACCACACAGAGCGGCCAGCCTCACCACCTTGGCTGCTCACATCCTGCTCCCCAAACATGGGCAATACATGCAGGGCTCCAATCACCTGGCAAGAGTCCTTGCCTCCCTCGAGGAAGCCAGCACAGAACATGTTACTGGTGATCTCTCCAGGGTAGGCGGACTGGCATGAAGACTGACTGAGCACAGGGGCATCCAGGCACTGCAGCAGGTCTGGGTTTTTGACTGTGAAAGGCAAGACATTATCAGAGAAAGAAGAAACATGAGTCAGACCAGGCTGGAGGAAAAATCAAGTGTCCAACACCCTAGGTAGCCACTGGAGAGGGCCCCCAGGATACAAGCCCCAGAACGGAACAATGGCTTTCAGCTCCCAGCATGAGCCTTGCTGCTCCCCATCCTGGAAGTAAGGGTAACATGTCTTAGACTTATCCTCTTTTGATTCTGGGGATTAGCTCCTCAGGGCCTCGCATCTCTATGGTGGCCCTACCGTAGAGATGTGTGTGACTCAGAGTCACACACTTTGCCTGAGTCACACCTTCAGAGCTTTGTGTGTAGTAGGCACTTGAAATGTGTTTTTAGGCTGGAAGCAAAGGGATTTGAGGTCATAGGTGTGCTTGCTTCTGGGAAGTGTGGGACAGAGGGCAGTAGGAAGATAAAGGGTTCCACTCACCACCAGAGCTCAGGGTGTTGCCCCAGCCAGAGATGAGGCACTTGGTGCCAGCAGAGGCACAGGAGGAGGGCAGAGACACAGCAGCCACCCGGGAGTTGAGGGTTGCGGCCGAGGCGAGCTTGATCAGCATGATGTCGTTGTTCAGGGTATTGCTGTTGTAGCTCGGGTGACGGATGATCTTGGATGCAGTGATAAACTGTTCATTTCCCTCCGCGACGTTGATGTTGTGCTCTCCCAGTCTCACTTGGATCCGGCTATTGGGAAGAGGGGCGTGATACAGGCTTTCGGTCTATAGTCCAAGACACTCAGGATTCTCAAATGCCCTGCTCAGAAGAAAGTCTGGGGGCTCAGGATGGGATATGTGGCTGTATCACAGGAGCAGCAGAGAGTGGGTAGGTAGTACTGGTATGAGACCCAGGCTCTTCCTGATACAGAGATAGGTGGTGTGGAAGGTTATGTTGTGTGTAGGGGGATGCAGTATGCAGGAGATGGAGTGTGGAAGAGATGGAGTGCAGACTGCAGCTGCGGATCACTCTCAGCTGCTGTCCCAAAGCCCCCTCCCAGAGCCCATGTGTAGCTAACTAGCAAGGGTATTTGTCCAAAATCCTTGCCTGCCTTTTTTACCAGTCTTCACCACACCAAAATGATCCTTCCCTGTTTTCTGACTCATAGCCTTTGCTATGGATGAGTTAATGGATTTATATGGTATGGGAGAGTCTTGCTATTGTGTGACCCTCTTCTCCTGAGTGTGAGCTGCACCCAGCAACTTCATCTTTCCCATCTTCCTTCCAACCTCATCAGTTGCCAGGTCTTTGGGCTCTGCAGTCAGGGGCCCAATACTTACGACTTGTAGCAGTGAGCCGCAGATACCACCCACTGGTTATTGATGAGAGAACCGCCGCAGAAGTGGTAGCCACTGTTCAGGGACACCTGGTAGGGGACGGAGTATGCCGTACAGGTGTAGCCCCCGACAATCTTGTCATCATCGTCAATGGGGTAAGCAACTTGAGTGAAAATAGAAAGGGAGAAGCCAGTTTATCAGGATGTTAGAAGGTGTATTCCTCAGTCCCCTAGTTGCTTCCTGCTAATTATGATTCTATAATTAGCTCAGTGACCATAGGCAAACAAGGAGCACTGTTACCCGCAGTGAACAACCCAGCTTACAGTTGTCCAAGTACCTGTGCCTGCAAACACATAGCTGTACACCCTGAAGGGGCTCGTATCTCTTCTGCAGGCACCAGGATGAGGGCACGAGAAGTGCTGCTCCTATGCATTAGGTGGAAGATGGGTCAGAAGAACATACTTGCCTCCTCACTGAGCGATACTTCTCAGGTTCATCACTGATCTGCTCTCCATGGCTATTTGAGCCCCAAGTTGTCAGCATGGTTTGGTCTAGCTAGGATAATCTCCCAGCTGAGTAGACCCAGCTCTATGCAGGTTTCCCGTAGCCCAGGTCTACACAGTGAGGTCAGAGTAGAGGATATCAGCTTACAGGCCCAGTTAGGCAGAAAAAAGGGAGACACTACAACTGGCCAGTAGAATAGCTTTTGTTGATCTTGGCTGCAAATCTGGGAATCCTAAAGTCACCCAGGAAGCTTAAATATCCAATGCACTGGCCATACTCCAGACAGCATGTCTCAGTTTTTAGTGGTGAGTCTCTGGAAAGATCCAAACTCCTTAGGTGTGCTTGAGCTTGAGAGCCCTCACCTCTCGGCCTAAGCAAGCCCAACTGTGTAGATGGGGAGATTGCCTCCTCCTGTTTTCTCAGCCCAATATCCTTTCAAGAAATCAGCTGCCCTCCCTCTGAGCTTTAGAACATAAGTGTTCTCTGGGATAGGTAGACCTATACCACAGCTGTTAGAATCAAGCTGTGGGACTACTGCTTCATTTCATGGGCCCTGCCCACCTGGCCTCCCTTTCCAGGCTTGCTGACCTCAGCCCAGGATGGTGGTGGGAATGGAATCAGGGAAAAGGTAGAGGTGAGGTTTACTGAGAGCCCAAGAAGGAATGAAGAGGTTCTAGACAGGGTAAAGCAAATACCAGAGTGCAGTAAGATCAGAGACACAGCAGTGAGGCACAAGGCTTCTAGGAGAGGGTGGACTGCACAAGGCAAGCCACAGAACTCACCAGCAGCTCCCACAAGGGCTAGGATCAGAAGTGTGCTCATGGTGGCAATGTACAATCGAGCAGGCAGTGGACCTGTCTTTATACCTCTCGGGAGGGAGAGAGGGTACAGAGATGAATGGTCATGCTCCTCCCTGCACAAACACACCTGTAGCTTTTCCCTTTCCAGAACCTTGCATCAGCCCTTGCAACACTAGCCACTCTGTATGAGGTGATAAGGACACTTACGTTCTAAGGCTGAGAGGGAGAGCAGCTGATTTCTTGGAGGGATGCTGGGCTGAGAAAACAGGAGAAGGCAATCTCTCCATCTACACAGTTGGGCTTGCTTAGGCTGAGAGATGAGAGTTTGGAGGGAGGAGCATGGCCTGAGTCCTTAGAAATCCTCTGGGCTTGTGGGGAATTTTTAAAATGACTTTGAAAATAGACTGATATTGACAGCAAGCTTGGCTATTTGGGATCCCAGAGTGCCCAAAAGGAAAGAAATTTGTTTAAGACTTAATACCATGAGCATAAAGTCCCTTCTCTGCAATCTAATCCACTGGGCAAGAAAGTCAAATCCGAGGCCTGGGGTACCACAGTTTACACCAAGGTGATGACAGGGAGACCCAGAGCTCTTCAGGAGTCTAGGCTTCCAGGTGGCTGTCCTATCGAGCAAGGGTATAAATGGGGAGTGTTTTGAAGGAAGAGTGAAAGTTAAGCAATACTTAATAAATTACAGGGACAGAAGACCAATACCATATTCTTCCTCCTCCTTAATGCTGGAACATTTGTCTCTCCATTGCTCATGCTGTCATGAATTTTCTTGAAGCAGCCTTTTGGTTGTCTTCACAGTCTATACCACGAGATGATGAAAACTACTCTACCTGCTAGCAGCAGATAGTTCGAGCTAGAATGATATGCTCCAGTCAGGTACAAGAAAGAGTGTGGACAATGGTAATTTGCATTCTGGTCAGAGAATCAGTAGTAGGTAGAGAGATTAGCTCACAGTTAAAGGATCAAGCACTAGGTTCAGCAAGAAAGATTTGGGGAGGATTCTGGAATCTTCTATCTTGTGCAATCAAACTATTATTCTGGGCTCCATACAGAATGAACCTTTTCAGCAAGAATACAAAGTGGCACCTATCATAACTATGAAGAATCAGCTCTTCAATTTATTGGGGGACAACCTATTCAGAGGAGTGTAGAGACAGATGGAATTAGCCAATATGGGAGCCAGTTGGGGGGGGTCTTCTTACAAGATGCTTCTCCCTCTCAGCTCCAATGAGTACAGGGTTGGTGAGGGGCACGAGCAAGCAGATTTTAATGTCTGGATTCTATGAAAAGCAGAAAAAGAATGGATGTTCTGGAGATGCTAAACAAAGTGAGCAAAGCTCAGCTCAGCAGTTGGTGATAGAACTGGAGATGGCAAGCAGGTGGGAGGATGGAGGAAATGTAAACTACAATTAATCGTGGGACATACCAATGTAGGGCTTGTAGAGTACCTGCTGGTGCCCTCACTGACACTATTAAACCAATTTCTTCATACCAGAGATGCACTATGGAAGGTTCTTACCTGTCTACTTTGCATTCCTCCTATCATTTGATGGGCTCATACCCAAGTGGGTGTCTTACTTTTCTCATTGCTGAGAGAAAATACCCAACACCCAAAGTTAGAGGAGGAAAGGTTTATCATAGCTCACAGTCTGTAGAGGTTTCAGTCCATAGTTGGCTGGCTCCAAGGCAGAGTGGCGTGGCAGAGGGGCATGACAGTGTAGAAACAGTTCATGGCAGGCAGAAGGCAGCAAAAGCAACAAGTGACAAATGATCAGTGATCAGCAACTATAGCAGCCTTCTTTCTGTCCAGGTTACCCTCCCTAAGAGTAGGGTCATCCCATTATCTAAGGAGGGCCTTCCCATTTTCCACTGGCAGAACTATACTAAACCAATCAGGGGACTAATTTAGGACCTTCCTGTTGTCCACTCCCAGAACTATGACAAGTCAATCAATGAACTAATTTAGTATCACACATCCTTGATTTCAACATCACACACCACAGCCACCTATGAAAAGCTCCACCAGTGACAGTGTGAGGCTTTGGTGGGACATCTAGACAAAGCAATAACAGTGGGAATATTGTTGTGTTTGTACAGTGCTTGACATAATTTCAGAAGCTTTCATACACACATACAATAGTAGTATACTGCTTTTCCTTTGTCTTTAGCATCACAGTTTAACTTTTCACAAATATTTTAACTATGAACTATGTAGAATGAAGTAATTTCCATGTATAGAAGAAGAGACTGAGGCTCAGAGAGATTCTGTTTTGCCCAAAAAAGTCACTTAAAAATGGCAGCACTGCCTTCGACCACAGAAAAACATGCCACGGGTTGGGTAGTGTGGGATTTGATGCAGGTGACATCTAAAAGGTTTATTGGGGAATCAAGCCAGAGGAATCAAGCTGGAAAATTCTACATCTGGTTCCCTCCTGGAACTTGGCTTCTGGGCAGAAATGGAACACCAAATTAATATTCCACCTGACAGTTCATCTCAGAGCCTTACCTTACCATGGCCCATGTCTAAGGCATGGACACGTTTCTGTGCTCACAGGTAGTGGGCAGAGGCTTAGGAAGACAGGTTGAGAAGCCTGGATAACAGGTGATGTATCTGTGATGTCACTTATCATATCTTTGCTTTGCCTCCTTGCAGTGGGGTATTCATAGGACTGCTATTTTAGTGAGAAGGGTAGACTTTTGAACTAGCATCTGTAGATGCTGTGTGCACTGGGCTGATAGCCACAGGAAGGTATTCTTGGCAGAAAAAAACATTTTGAGGAAGGGGATTTTTGGATTGGCTCTTGTGCCTCTGACTCTATCTTAAAGAGAATATCCAAGGGCAGGACGATTCCCTGTACCTGAAGCTCACACATTAGGCTTTTCATGATATTATGTGCTCCTACTCACAGCCTCAGATCAGCTTTCTTCAAAGTATTAGGAACCAGGAAGAGGAAGGTGTTGTAGGTAAGGATCGTTACCCATTCATAGATGAGTACAGTAGGTTCAGATACAGCTGCTTAAACTCAACTTGGGCATCTATGCTGTTCTTGATACCCTTTACTCTGAGCGATGGATTCCTTTGTCCACCACTCCAAGGCATTTTCCTAGCTTGTGTTTGGTGTTTAGCCTACAAACTCTTGCTTTTCACTTACAATAAACATGAAGTTTTTGTGTTCTTATTGTCTAAGTCAAATATTATATAAGTCTTTCATAGACCTTCTTTCATTTGGTTGTGACAATCATAGCTTTAGATGAAGAATCTAAAACTTGAAGTTTAAGTGACTTCTCCAGACAGGCTTGGATGAGAAATGCAAAGATGATATCAGAACCTCTTCTCATCTTCAAACTAAGTTTATTTCCCACTACACTGCTACATGATGGAGTCTTTCCAGGCTCCTAATAGTCTGAAAAGTACACTTTGGTCAGATTCTACATTACTGTTTTCTTTTTGTATCAAGTATGACCAGATCAAGTTTTTTTTCCTCACATCTTAGTCAACCCTTGGCTCCAGTATCCTTATCTAGACTTTTGTTTTTCTGGTGGTACTAGGGCCTGAATCCAAGGCCTTTGCACTGAGCTGCACCCTCTATCCATTATTTTACTCTATTTTATTTTTTATTTTTTGAGACAAGTTCTTACTAAATTGCAAGTTGCCCAATGTGGGCTCAAACATATGATCCTCCTGCCCTGGCCCCCCAGAGCACTAGGATTGCAAGTATATACCACCATGCCCAGATTTTACAGCCAGGTTATTAAATTTCAGGCTGTCTTTGCCCCAAAGCCAAGATCTCTTCCAGTATTTATTAGTATCTCCCTAATAGCGTTTCTGTTCATCCAATAAGAAACTGTTTTCTTGGATATCTCATCCTGGGAATCACCAAAAGTGAAGAGGATGCTCTGTGACCCAGAAAAGTCTGAAGAGTGAGACAAAGGCTTGGAAGCTCAGAGCAGTCATAACAATCAGCTGACTGGAGTCACTCCCACCTCACCCTGCCTTGTCTCCTCCTCATCTTCAACCCTTGAAGTGTCATTTGCATATTTCATTGGTTCTTCCAGTTTCACACACCACACAGAGGTGAATGGGGAAGTCTCTAGCACGTGACGCTTTAAGGTTGTTTAAAGATAGATTGATTCCTGTCCTGTAAGAATGAGTCTTTCTGTTACCACCACAGCCACTCCTTATCCATTCCCTGCTGGGACTACTGGACCTGCTTAGGTGATTGAGGAGTAAGCAATAAGGAGTCAGTCCAGGGTCTAGGAGCAGTATCCTTGTGGGCTATTGTTATTGTCCCACCTGTGAATTCCATGAAGCATAGTCTGATGCTTGGTGTTTATAACTGTTTTGCTGAATCACATTAGGTTCAGGTTGAACCCCACAAACCAGGTGTGGTCATATGTCCAATTGGTAAGCTGGTCTCATTCTAGTCATAAAGAGTCAAGACTCTGCCATCCATCTGGAAGGGAGCCAACTGGTGAGTGCACCTCCTTTAGGTCAGCTTGATCAAAAGCATCTTCTTTTGGATTTCAAGGCTCAGAACTGAGGGGGTCCATCCACACAAATACCAAAAACAATTCCAATCTGAGAACTTCCTACCTCAAGGCCACCACGTTTGAGCAGGTGGTTCTGGACTTTGCCTCTAAAGAATCCACAGCATCTGTTCCATTTCCCAGTCCCGGGTAAGGCAGCAGAGGGGCACGGCACATATTATGGTGTTCCTTCCTGTTTAAACATACAGCTTTGTTCAAACATAAACTTGAGAGTTTTGTTTTCTTCCTATGGAACAATCCAGTTAATTTCTTAGTGAGCTTAGATAATCTAAAGTCAAATCTTTGTAGATTTTTTTTTTTGATCCAAGGAATCTATTGCATTTTGACAAGCTTTCCTTTTGAAAAGTCATGCTTATTTAATCATTAAATATTGACTGGATTCCCATGATATTCCAGAAGTTCTAAGCTCTAAGAAAATAGCAGCAAAGAAGATAGAAAAGGTCCTCACTTTCATGGCATTTA